CGGGCAGGGCCGGGGGTCCCCCCGGGGCCCAGGCGAGGGGCCGGTCACGGGGCGCTCAGCCACGCGTGCTGCAGGCACTGGGCGGCTGTGGCGCGGCGCTCGGGCGCATACTGCAGGGCGGGCAGGAGGAAGCTGGTGAAGGCGGGAACCTCGGGTTTTGTCCATTTGTGTCTGTCCTTCAGGATGGTGTGGAGACTGCAGGGGGAAAGCCTGGAGATCCGCAGCAGAGCGCCTAGCAAAGACAGCGTAAGCACAGGACCTTCGTTACACTCGCAAGACTGAGAGCCTACCGCTCCTCACCTCATGCAGTTATTCAAAGCATCCTGCAGGATCCCTTCCTTCGCCTTTGAATCTTCCTCTGCCTAAGCTGCACCTGCACTGGCACTTGCAGTTTTGGCTCTCAGATGTTTCTCAGAACTGATCTTTCCAAGCTAATGTTTGGAGTCTCCCTGTTTCTGAGTAATTCTTAGATGAGAACAGGCCAAGAGTGAAAAAAGCGTTCCCAGAATAGCCGTGCCAAAGGCATTGCTGCTTGTTCACTCTGCCTGTCAACATGCAATCCAGAATGCATCGGGCCAGTTCAGTGCCATACATTACAAGACACTAATGTTTAATTTGGTTTGTGCCTACTAGCACCATGGGGCCCAGAAGAGTACCACTACTGACCGAGAAGCTATCCTTGTCCCCAGGAGCACATGGTGTAAATGTAGTGATTCAGGTTAGGTGTGTGTGGTCAGGCCAGTTTGGTTGACACGGAAAATGAATATAGAACTAGTTTTGACTTCCTTTTTTTTTTTTTTTTTTGAGCATCATAGAAGGAATAAGTGCAAGCAAAGGATGTGAATGTGCAGGGAAGTGGTTGTTGAGCTGCAGTATGGGACTAGCACTCAACGTTGAATGAATTGTGGGTAGGCTGAGGCTGTAGGGTAGCTGAATTGCGGAAGGATGGAGTCATGTGATGCCTTGAAGTCAAAGACAAGGATTTCAAGCCTAATGAGTCAAAGGGAAAGGAATTAAGGGGAATAAAACAGAAGAGATGTTATAGTTGGGTCAGAAGCCTCAATATAGCAACCACGTTGGAAGGATGTGAGTGTCTCATTCCTGATCGTCATTGTTCTCTGCCAGTGAACGGGTGAAATCAGCATTACGCACTCTTCAGCCTTGCTGCCATGTAGCTGTTTCCTGTCCATACTTCCATTCTCTCCAAATCCAAAGGAGAAAGAATGGAAATGTTTTCCCTGTTGGGTTTTGGCTATGACTTTTTCAGGATTTTGCATTCATCCGTAGAATGCTCCTGGATTGCAAAGGTAAGCAGGGCACAGAGCATTACCGCTCTTTCGGAAATCTCTGCATGTGTTCTGTCGCTGCTTGTAGCCTGTGTTGTGTAATATAACTTTCGGGGGTTTTCTGTGTGAGCTAAGTATCAGTGCGTCGGAGATCTACAGTGATTTTTAGAGTAAACTTCCTTACTCTGATTCTTACCTGGCCTGCTGAAAAATTTTGTTGACTTGTTCCAGGAGAAAGCAATTTGAGGAGGAATTCTTCCCAGGAGTTCAATAATACGAGCAACGTGATCTAGACAGAGGAAGGGAAAATGCATCTAGATACAAAGCTTGTGACACTTCTGTCAGTGAAATGAATAAAATTGATGGAATCCTACCATCGTCTCTGGAGAAATATTTCCCAGGTTGAGGATCAAATAGACACTCCCCAGTTACCATTTCAAATGCCTAGAAATGGAGTAGCACTGTTAATTCAGTAATTGACTTGGAGTTTTTCTTCCCCGTTAACTCCGACAGTACCAATTTCCCTTCCTATCACACAAAACTGATCCTAAAATATGGAAATATTCACGCTGCTTTTATCCGTACCATGGTGAAACAGCACCTTTAGCTCCATCAGGATGGAAAGCAGCACATGCCCAATTCTGTCCGGTCTATGAGTTGACATACGTGTTGCGTGAATTGCCTTGCAGCTTAAACTAACTAAAAGTGAATTTTAGCAGTAGCATACTTTCAGTCCAGAGTGAGTGAGTGCAGACAAGCCCTTTCTGCTTCTCAGCAAGGAATTCTTGCTCCCCACGCAGCAGGTATTGGAGCGTGCTGAGGACACGCTGTCCCTGGCCTGTCAGTGTCAGTCATCTCCCGTGCACGCGCAGCGTTGTCCCCTGTCCTACCAGGCAGCCCATGCTCCAGATATCTGCAGGAGTGCCATAGTCTAATCCAAGCAGCACTTCCAGGGCACGGTATGGCTGGGTCTGTATCTCCTTGGAAAAAGGTTTGTACTGAAACAGAAGCAAACGCCCTTTGGTTAGCGACCATAAACAAGTAACAGCAACGCTTGTGCTCACAAGCTTCCCGCAGAGCGAGGAGGACGCTGAGGGGCAGAACTGAATCCGTGTACTAAGCTCTGCGCCCAGCATGGCAGGCATGTTCTCATCCCCACTGACACCAGGGTGAATTTATCTCCCACCGTTTCACACTGAACACGGTTTTGAGCTTCTGATTGTAGGGACTAACTGAAAGCTGAAGAAATGTCTAAAATTGACAGTGTCTCCAGGAGTACAGTTCCCAGCTCTGAGCTGGGAGTGCTGAATATAACACCCTCCGAAATTGGCGTCTCTTCAGCGCACTGAAATAGCTGTTCAGCTGTAAAAGGACAGACACCCCTGGTGGGATCCCGCATCGTCATGGGACTGAGACTCAGAACAGACTCACTGTCCAGCACGCGCTGCCCAGATCTGCAATTTTCACTTGTATGCTCATTAAATCAGATTCTTCCAATCGATTGCCAAGATCACCACCTAGGTGGAAAGGACAGAGAGAAATCAGGTCTTTCCAAACCAGCAGGTATGCATCACTTACCACAGGAGAGGGAAGTATGCCTGCCTTTAAAGCTTCTCAACCTAAAAGGTCCTAAAATGCTTTTCATCACCACCTCTGTTTTTTGAGGAAACACTGCTCATTAAATCAGATTCTTCCAATCGATTGCCAAGATCACCACCTAGGTGGAAAGGACAGAGAGAAATCAGGTCTTTCCAAACCAGCAGGTATGCATCACTTACCACAGGAGAGGGAAGTATGCCTGCCTTTAAAGCTTCTCAACCTAAAAGGTCCTAAAATGCTTTTCATCACCACCTCTGTTTTTTGAGGAAACACGAAGAGCTGGTATCCAGTCCAAATCTAAGAGGACATTCAGGAGGACAGTAGCTTGGAG